ACGTGAGACCAGCCTATTTTCGTGAGACCCGTGAGACCACATTTTTACACTTGAAACTTCACAGCAAAAACATTGTGAAGGTTAAAAAAGTCACATTCACAACATTTTGCTGTGAAGTTTCAAGTGTAAAAAGATGGTCTCACGGGTATCACGAAAACATGTTGGTCTCACATGATCCCAAATCTATATATATATGTATATACACACGTTAAAGAATTAAGGTATTTTTCCGATCAACAAAATATCAAATTAGTGGTTTTGAGACGTCATACGATGGAATCTTTATATAGAAAGTGATCTATCAAAAGAAAAATATTTTTATCAACGAAATATATTTATTGACGTGAATCTATCAGTTAATCTTACTTCATATTCTAGTGTTCCACAAAAGTTAATCTCTGATTTAGAGCATCATCAATGTAAGGTTCTTTTAAGTTAAAAGTGTCCAGTCTTATAAGAACTACCATTATGGTCATAGGTGCTTGAACAATAACCTTGGTTCTTACCATGATTTTTGTAAGAAATAATATTTTACTTGTTTTTTATTTTGTTTTTTTTTACTTTATATTAACTTATTTAATTATTGATGTTAAAAAAATCAATTGGACCCCACAAAAAAAAAAGGTTTCTTATAAGAACCACCGTTATGGAGTTCTCGAGTTCTTAATTTGATGAGATGGACTTAAGACGACAATAAAAAGTGTAAAAAAGAGGTTCTTATAAGAACCTCCATTGGAGATGCTATTAATGCAACAAGCTGTATAATTAAGACACTACACCTAAAGGCTGTATATGTCATGTCATATCGATACTAAAATAATACAAATATTGTTTGAGTAGTTTTTTAGGAATCTTTGACTATAGGACCAGGGTTGGTACGTGAGATGGGACACACTACTAGAAAACTGACTATTTTGACGTCATTTTCGGCGGACGAAATCTGTTGGAATTGTTACGATGGATTTTCGACGGATTTCCGTAGGACATCAAAAAAGTCAACTTCTATTGACTTCCGCCGAAAATATTATTCAGGTAATATTTCCGGTGGATTACTTAATTAATTATATTAGATTTGTATTTAAGTTTAATCTAAATAGGGGTGAGCAGCGGAACCGGGTACCCGGCTATGGAACCGGAACCGCCTTGGAACTGCCGGTTCCGGAACCGGAACCGATATGAGTGGTTCCGGTTCCGGTTCCTAAAATACGGAACCGATTGAGAATGGTTCCGGTTCCGGTTCCTAAAATACGGAACCGATTGAGAATGGTTCCGGTTCCGGTTCTCAATTTTTCGGAACCGTTACCCGCCGGGTATCCGGTATTTTTCAAGTAAAAAAATAATAATTATTTTTTAATATCAAATTTATATTAGGTTTACATCTTGAAAGCACGTCGTCATTTTCATTCTTCATCTAAATTCTTCATAT